CCGGTTTGGGGATCTCAGACAGATCACTCTTAGAAGGACCCTTGGATCAAGCACCGGGTCCCTGCTGAGGAGAATTTCGAGGACTTGACGCCGGAGCAGTGCAGCGAGGAGAACTTGAGGCACGCGCAAGAGTGGCAGCGCTTCCTGCACAATGATGATGAGCACATCAAGGTGCCAATTCTGTCGTTCTTCGCTGATGGGCTTCTCGCCCGCCAGTGAACGATCCCAGAGGTATGTGGGCATAGCCACCTGCAGTTTGAGATTCTCAGATTCAATTTGCGTGTCTTTTTTTGCGCCGTGCTGTATGAGAAAGACTATCAGTCACACGAGGGCGTGAGGGCTTCTTGTTCCAGTTTCGGGCACAACACGGGGATGGTGGGGACATCAGACCAAACCAAGCAAAGTAGTTTACCGGTCCAATCACTGACGGGAGCCTCACATGCTGGCATCATCAAGGCCAGAGGTGTACCGAGCCACAAGCCAGGCCACAGGCAGCACGTAAAGGCCTTGTAGTGTAGCCCTGACTTGAAAGTGATACTCCTGTACTGGGAGTCCCGTAGGCCTTGGGTGTGTCCAGCACCCTTGGATGAAAAAGTGGTCTCCTGATATACCACTGATCCATTTAGGGGTACCAGGAATCAAGCGCCCAGACGACAAAAGGGTGACGACAGCCATGCAATGACAATATCTGGATAGCTGTGGTCCGTGGTCGAGTTTAGGGTGTCTGACAGCTGTGCTCGTTGTTAGACCCATTCCCAGGCGACACCCTCGGTCCAACGATGTGAGAGCAGGTGGTGCGTGGCTTCCAGTCGGGCCGCCGGGAGTTCCGCACGCTGCATGCCATGTACCGCTCAGAGGCGCGAAGGAGGAATGACACGCGGGGATCGGGATGGTTTTGGTGGACTTCCGAGGAAAAGGCAGGTGAAAGAGTGGTGAAAGCGGGCACAATGCGACGCAGGTGGTTTTGTGATTGGCTCTACTGTAGAACAGACTGAACTTGCGGAACACTTAATGAAGCTGATGCGATTTGCCATCCTGCAGCAAAGAGATTGCAGACAGGATCTCACGAGAAAGGGCCACCATCATAGTCTGAAGGCTCTTCACAATTGACAGAAAAGACATGCTCACACAATCTCACACATGTCTTTGAGCCATCATAAACCCATCCCCATGTTTTCCCATGCGGGGTCACACCCAGATCCCCATGCCATCCAATGCCACACCTTAGGGATGCGTACATGGCACCAGGTTTGCCCACGGTGCCCCAAGAAAAAGAAGACTCTGTGAAGGTTCCACAGAATTATTACGTCAAGTTAGTACTCGTCAGAACCTTGTTTTTGGCATTTCCCACCCAGTTTTGGGGTTTCCGACCGAGTGTATGGTTTGGCGGCCAACTGGACTGCCAGGCGTTTGAAACCTTGCCCCTGCGTGGGGTTTTGCAGGACACCGTCTCTGGGCATGGATTGGTTGGACGTGAGGGACGGATGGTTGGGACGGATCATTCATTTGGATCTTCATAGGGGGTTTGCCCAGTAAATGAAAACATGGGATGGGTCTTCCAGTAGATCTTCATTCTATCTAATTGAACAAATGGGATGGTTCATGTGGCGAAAAGGCCAAACGATGTCATCGTACGTGTCCGGTCCGTGGACCTGAGACCGACCACTGCACCGACGGTCTTTGGGACAGTCCATCTGAGACAATGAGGAAACACGTCTTTTCGAAAGCGGGAAAGGAACCTGTAGACTAGTAGTAACAAGGTTCGCTACTAGGAACAAGTGCATCGCTTCTAGTAACAAGTGCCTTACTAGTAGTAACAAGAGTCCTTTCAGCACGGAGTCCTTGCGGCAGTGCCCTTGCAGTGCATCAGGTGCTTGTGGCCCGGAACTGCGACTAGTCGCGCGCGCTCACGCAAAAAGATCGGTCGTTGCATGCCGTTGCCACGGTCCGATGGCATGTCGTTGCCAAGCTTGAAGGCTTCGAAGTATGGGAATATAGGGGAACTTTCGAGGGGTATGCAGTTTGCAGTATATGTATTTTGATCCCATATGAATCTCACATCTGACGCTTCTCAAACCCAATTCGCGCCTTCATCTGCTTTCGCTCCACGGAGCCGTTGGGCATTAACGCCGCGCCGACGGGGCCCATGGCCAACAGCAGCCTGGCTTGGGTCCAGTTCCTTCGGACTCCCTAAGGCACTTGCTCCTACTAGCGATGCACTTGTTCCTAGTAGCTTCTTGTTACTAGTAGTATGGCACTTGCTCCTACTAGCGATGCACTTGTTCCTAGTAGCTTCTTGTTACTAGTAGTAAGGCACTTGCTCCTACTAGCGATGCACTTGTTCCTAGGAGCTTCTTGTTACTAGTTGTAAGGCAGTTGCTCCTACTAGCGATGCACTTGTTCCTAGGAGCTTCTTGTTACTAGTAGTAAGGCACTTGCTCCTACTAGCGATGCACTTGTTCCTAGTAGCTTCTTGTTACTAGTAGTAAGGCACTTGCTCCTACTAGAGATGCACTTGTTCCTAGTAGCTTCTTGTTACTAGTAGTAAGGCACTTGCTCCTACTAGCGATGCACTTGTTCCTAGTAGCTTCTTGGTTCGTGTCTGGTATTTGGATCATACAGGATCAGACAGGACCTGTGGGGGTGAGTTTTGTTGAGTCACCACAAGATATCACTTGGACGGTCGTGCGTCACTTGAAGTGTGTATCACCTTTGGGCCCTAAACGCTGTTTTCTTTTCTTTTTTTTTCTAAGGCGACGATGTGCTCTTCCGCTTCATTCTCCAGTGGTCTTTGGCAATCGATGGACTCGCCCGATGGTTGGAAGAAGTGGTAATCCCTTCTCTCTTGCGGTGCTCAGCTTGCTGCGAGCTCAACGAACGATGGAGGTCCAAACCGAGGGACCCTGGATGACCATCAACCTACAAGGGAAACAAGGGGTCCGGGTTTGACCCACAGGCATTTTTTTTCCTTGCTCATTGTTGTGTTGTCTGGAATATGTTGCCAAATGGCTGCTTCTTAGGAATTGAGCAAGCATTCACTCATCTCAGTCTCATTTGCTGTGGATCCAAGAACATCATCAGAACTTCTTTTCTGGGGACCCTTGGGTGTACTCGAGTGGTTGGGATTACCTCAGGTTGGAGCTATTCTTGCGATGCCAGCGCTGTGCTGCGAGGCACTCGGCTTGGCACTGATGGCACCGGAGGGCTTGGCCGAGTAGTTGATGTGCAGTGGTCATTCAAAAGAGGGCCTCAGGAGAAGAGTTGTTCTTGAATATGCTAAGAATTACGCAGAGGGTGCAAGTCTGATTGATGTCCTGGTTCGACCATCTGGGAGTACCACCTGAAAGTCTGGAGATTTGTCTACGATACTCACACCAAAGCCGAAAGTGCACCTCTGTCCCTGCTCAGGAAAACCTCGATTTTCTTCTGTCCAGAATCAATGCGCGGTCAGAGGCCACTGGCCATCCATCAGTGGTCGCGGTCTTCGGCTTCGGAGCAAACATAGGGGATAACCAATTGCACTTCGGGTTGGCTCGGCCCAGCGAAGTCTCAGGACTGGGTGGGTGCTATGATTGGCGGACCACTCCGCAGCTATCACCTCTGGCACACAAATACCTGCACGACTTCAGTTGGTGTGTCATGGACCGAAGCCGGGTCTCCAAGGGTTTTGCCTTCACCATGGCAATCGCCGACGGGACCTGAAGAGACTCTTGGAGGAAGGAGGCCGCTGTGAGCTTTGCGACTTCGTCGCTGGCTTGGAAGATGTTTACACTCACTTGGAAGATCATGACTTTCTCAGAGAGATGGAGCGTTGGTTGCCGGGATGGAGAGATCCACTCGGAAAGCGGCGAAGGTGGCTCTCACTGCTGTTGGAGCGTTCTTGTCCCTTTACTGAGGGTCTTTCCTACCTGGCGGAGCAAGTCGCATCATTTGTCTTCCCAGCCGGACATCCACTGGACTCATTAGTGGTGATCGAAAACGAGGATCTGCTTTCACTCAATATTCCTCCGGCATCAGAGTCCGAATCCGAATAAAGCTAAGAGCATGCCCTTGTACAGTTTTGCCCTTGTACAGACATGCTTTGGGCAGCGAATAAAAGTTCAAGACCGCGGAAGCGATGCGGAAGAGCTCGGCGACCATCGCTGCGGAAGAGCTCAGAGAGAAGCTTTGTCTTCATGAGCTTTCTCAGGTCGAATGAAAGCTCGCACCTTTTTCTGCCTTCTGTGAGAGCCTAAGTGAGAGTTGTTGGGAAGAGGTTTTCTTGCTGCACTGTGGAACATCGGTCATGCACTGTGACTACTTTGTGTGCATGTTTGTGTGCATGTTTCTCTTTGTCACAGCAATGTTATGAATCTGTTTGATGCTGTTTTTGGAAGAACATGCAGAATTTCAAGCGTCAAAGTCTAGCAGCTAGCAGGCCAATCTTCATGTCAGTGGTCTTGGTTGGGATGGAGTCGGGGCCACACCCAGATATTGGCATCATGCGGATTTGTCAGCTAAAGTAAGATAGAATTATTCAGGGATGGCAAATGATCTTAAGTTTGAGCATGTGCGAAAAACCCCTCACAGTTCACATCTGAGAGTTTCCAAGCCCTCCTCTTTTTTTTTACCAACTGCTGTTTCCTGGGGTCACCTGGCCGGACAACCCTAAGCTACTTCCGGTATCCAATGGTATCCCCTAATGGAAGCCCTATATAGGTAGAATATCATCGGGCGAACATGTTTTGGTCAAGAACATGTTCGTGTCTTCCTTCTTGGTGTGTCTGACAGTATCCTAGCTTTCGACGCAAGCTTTCGACTCATGTCTATATACCAGGAGTCACAAGACGGGGTGGTGTTTAGTCCCATCCAGTGAGTGGATGTTCTGGGCATCCCTATCCTCCAAGTTCGGCACCCCGTCTTGTGGCATAAGGAGCCGACTTTGCCAGGCCAATGACATACCCTTCGGAAAGACCTTGAGCACGCGCAGCATGCGCTCTATCCAGGAAGAAGAGCCCGTCATGGCTTCTTGGGCGCGTTTGGAGACATGGCTGGTGTAGACAAGCAGCCTTTGGTTAGGCATCCCATATTTTTGAGACACCCAAATTGGATCCCCAAGTACCCCATGTCGCCACGCCACCCTGTTGGAGAATGGACACCCCTTTTGGTGCCGTGTCGAACCATCACTTCGTCTTGGTGACGGGTGGAGTGGAGTTTGGGTCCATTTGTGCTGGACAGCTCGACCCATTTGTGGCGAAGGAACTTCTCTTGCCAGGGTTGATCAGTCAGAACCTTCTATAGAACTAGATGGTGGAAGTGGTCGGTCTTGGGGATCTGGTGTTCCTTCTAAGAGCCTTTTACTCCTTCTTCGGAAAAAACAACACCGTCCCTTCCTCTTCAGCCGTCCGTTTCCGCGCCAGGCAGGGCGGAGCCCGAGTACCACGGTGCCCACGCCAGCAGGGACACCCGGGCGACACCTTCGGCCATGGCCTGGCCGTGCAGAGTTCGCATTATAAATTGTGTGACGTCGGTCAGGTGTTCTTTCCTGTTAGTTGGCACAAAGCAGACAGAGCAGTGTTGAGGTTCCCAAAACACTCTCCCAAGACTACCCTCAAAGAGAAAACACGAGCGATAGGGCAAGGGCTTGACCAACTTGTGGGCTTTAGGGGAGATGGACAATTCCACCACTTGCAAGGTTCACCTTGCGATACTTTGCCTGCTCACCCAGGCCATACCACCGCTCGCCTGACCAGTTGGGCATCCACCACATCTATCTGATGTGAGTGTTTCACAAGACCTATGGTTGTAGGAAACTATATAATGGGTATGGTCATGGTCACAATGGTCGCCCCGCCACCCCCGGGAACCCCCTGTACAGGCTCAAGAAACCATGGAGGCCGACCCAAATCATAGATTTTGCCCAAATCCTCATGTGGGGAGCCTGTTTCATGGTCCACCGGTGGGTCTAGAGGACCGGAGTGAGGACCGGACCAAAACCTCACCCGAAGTCGACCGGAGGGGTCGCAGAGCAGACGGTCCAACGGTCCAACGGTCCGACTTTGCGCGCGGGGAGCGGTCCGACTTACGTACGGGAGTCACGTACGTACTATCCGACTGATCCTTTCAAGGACCTTGAGCAGAGCAGCCCACACCAACTTTGCATTTTGTTGTTGCCTTTTTGCCTTCCATGTTTTGGCACACAACCTAAAACCCTAACTGTAAGTCGGTTTATTCTAGTACCTCACACCGCGACAAGGAACAAGAATGTGCAGATTTTCGCTTCACCTTTGGGAAAAGCGAATTCAATTGTGGACAATGGCATTTCCCTATAGTTTTGCTTTTCCCCCAGGGAAAATATCATTGTTCAGTACTTACCTCACTCCAAGGAACCGTTTCTGAACACCTGACGCATTCGATGGGTTTCAGATGCTTCACATCGACGGCCGGACTCTCTCGACCAAACTCCCGAGAAACGCCATGGATCGCAGACCGCCTCGAGCATGGCTCGCTTAGGATGCTGAGTACTTTGGGTCTCCAAGCGTTAGGTACTCAGCGCAGAAAACACCGGCAGACTGCGGAAAACGGCAGACGATGCCAGGAAGGAGGGCACACGTTTTTAATGTCCTCCTGTGGTTGTCTAAGAAAAAACACATACACACACACACACATGCGAAAAAGCATAATTGCACAGGGCACGCATTTGGTGCCACTATAAACGCGTTTTACACCGAGACACCGAGACACCGATTGAAGCCGCGATTGTACCGATACACCGAGACACCGATTGAAGCCGTGACCACACTTGCGGCACCAAATGCTTGCCCGCTGCATAATTGCACGAAACATCCGGAATTTTTCGCAGCATCAGTTCTTCATGAACAGGTGCCACGCTAGTAGTAACAGGTGCCTTACTAGTAGTAACAAGAAGCTACTAGGGGCTCCTGGCATCGCTACGAACGGAGCAAGGACGCATTTAAGTTCCAATGATCGGAAGGGCCATTCCGCCGGGCCGTGCCCTACAAAAGGGGCCGTCCGGTAGATGCACCACACAACTAAGGATGATCGTGGCTTTGGTTCCTTTTCCCATGCCGCTTTGGCCCAGTGCGAAGGGTTCGGTGGTGAAGTGTTCGAGACGTTGATCTCTTGGAACGAGACGTTTGTAAGATGTAGCGCGACTGAAAGAAGTTCATGTTAGTCACGAGCGGATTGAACTGTTTGTAAGATATAAGATGAACGCTCTTGATCTGGTTGAACCATGCCAGAGATCGCCAGAGATGATTTATTTGCGCAGGGAGACGGAAGGGTTTGATGAACCGCGCTGTTGTTGCGGCACAGAATGGCTCAGGCTCATGGGCAAGGCATGACTGCCAAAGGCCGGTTAAGTGCAGAAACTGCAAGGGAGTGGAGGTAAAGGGAGTCTTGTTGAAACAGGAGGCCCTGGTCAAATCCAAAGTTTCTGGATGTTGGATGGACAACGGGTGTCGGTACCCCTTGTTCGGTCCGAGGGATGCCTGAGAATCATGGGAGTTTCGGAGATCATGAATCATGAATGTCAGGTGTTTTGACATATATAGTTGTATATAGTATATATATATACATTTGTATATATATTTATGTACACAATTGCAAGGCCTTGGGACCTTTGGCAGATTCTTTTTTCGTGGACTTTGTCTTGCAATTGGTCCCTGAGGCTCTCTATGTAATGCAACATGGAGACTGACATCATGTGCTGAAACGAGGGAATCAGGTGTTCCCTTTCTTTATGTGGGCACCAAATTGACAGCAACATCAGATGGCCTCCACCCTAGTAGCGACGGCCTCCACCCCAGTAGCGATGGCCTCCAACAGCAAATCTTGTCTTGACCACTTGAGCCAAAGGTAGTGATTCCGAGGACGAGGAGGAGCAGCACCGAGCGGCCAAAGACTTTGGGGATCGTTTTGGGGTGACTGGTGGTGGGTTTTCCGCGCGCAGAATTCATTGGCCCAAAGCATGAGGGGAGCATCTTAGGGCTCAAAGTGGCACTGGTAGTGTCTGCCCCCAAGAAAAATAAGAGGTAGATGGAGGCAGGGTTGATGGACATTCTCCTCCACTGCAGAATCTATGATCTCAATATATCTGAAGTATGCACGGTGGGGCTCACCACCGCCCATTTGTGGGGAAACCCCTGCACGACATGGACCGGCGTGGAACTTTCTGAGAAGGGTGAAACCCGAGGAAAGTGTTGTCTTGCAGATGCAGTCATTTCTTGAGCCCAATCAGGTAGATCTCCGTGATCACAAGCGACAAGCGCTAAGGTAGAGGCTTTGTATCGATCCAGATCACTGTTGAGGGATGATGGCTGCAAACCCGAAGAAGCTGAAGGTCCCATGGCCATACAGCAAGCATGGTGGTCCCCATTTGCTGCAGCCTTCCAATCTCATGCCCCTTCCAGTGGTACCATGATATGAGACATAACGCGGATGTGATGTCCCTAGGACCTAGCACATCCGTGCGTACCTACAAATTACATCAAATTACAAGTGCGTGATCGAAAAGCATCTTAAAAATACACATATATAGTGTATATCAGCCTCCCGACTCCTAGAGTGGAACACTCTCCCGACCCCCCTGCTGGTTGTTTGTTTCGTGCTCCCGCTTGCGTCGACGGCGGTGACCAATCCACTGCGCCAGATCTGCCCCAGACCCACCGCGCCAGATCTCTCTGGCAACCCAAGTTACATGCGTGAGGAGCTGGCGTGGGCGAAGCACACGAGTATTGTCACTGACTACGGGGAAGATGCTGCTTGGAGTCTGAAGAGGGAAGCGCTGTGGGTTGGCCCCGGGATGTGGAAAGGGGAGAGAGGACGGTTGCTTGCGCTTGGGAAAGAACACATGGAAGGGGCAGATTTGACAGAAATAGGTTTACGAACGAAAAGAGACTTGTCTAATTATGATCTAAGAGGAACAAACAACCACTCACTGGAGTTGAGCTTTGTGTGGAAATCCTTGAGTGCATCCTATCCCTGTGTCCCCTAGCCAAAAAGGCATTGTCCTGTTGGTTTGCGGTTGCGCGTTACCGTGGAGATGGAAAAGAGAGAGAGAGAGAGTCATAGATGATGACCGATTGACCAGGACACCGGTCATACAATTTTGGACTGGGGCTAGGGGCTGGATGACCAAAGCAAATCTGACGTTTGGAGGGAGTCTCTCTTCAACAACCAAACCCGCAGCAGTAAGCGCTTTTCCATTAACCCATTTGCTTTCCATCAAAGGGTCGAAGGAGCCCTTCACATCTATTTTCATTGATTGTCTAAAGTCAACATGACATAACAGCAAGCAGAGTTTACAAGGAGGAATTGTAGATGATGTGGATGATCCACCTATTGATCTAACTCTCTTCAGCTACCTGAACTCGCAGATTCACTACCCCAACCAGTACATCACCCAACCTTGCACCCAAAAAAACACGAAGGGAGCCTCAAGAGAGAAAGAAGCTTCACTCCCATGACATGTTTTGAATGTGCAGGTCTGGGGAGGTCGTAGTGGCCTATCCCTACAGATGACTCCTCCGAGGCTGGACGTCCATGTCCCAGCTGTGAGTTCTGCTTGGAACTGGAACTGAGAAGTGATTTGGATTAGAAGCTGGGATTCCCTCAAAAGGACCTGGGTTCAGAGAACTTTGGATCACTTCACCGGGATCGATTCCAAAAGAACCAGTCAGTCTAATTGCCTCAGACTAAGGCCGGTGGTCGACGAAACAGTGGACAGAAGATGGCTCGAGGCGGAGGGGGGCAATCCGTCTCCAAATGTCAAGCAACTGCTTGCAGGATCTTGCAGGCTTCTAGTGAGTGCTTTTGGTGGTTTTGGAAGGCCGCTATTGTAGGTCCTCGACTCATTTTGAGCCCATTTGAGACGCTTGGTCTCCGGGCCCGAGACGGCTGCAGGCGATTCCGAGGATGAGACCGAGGACACTGGGCCGAAGAAGGCATCCATTTCACCTGCGTGCTCCAAGAGATTTGGGGCAAATGTGAAGCCAAAAACAACTAAAAACCATCAGATTATGAATCTTCCCAGCTGTTCAGTCTCTTTGCAAGTTGCACCAGACTTTGAAGCTGAAGTACTGAGATCTAGGTATTCTGCTCTATACTTGTACCATCTTGCACCCCCAAGGGAGCACGCTCTTCTGCTTGGCGAGTGTCAACAGTCAAAGTAGTGCTGGACCCTATTCAAAAGATGTCAAACTTCTCTGAATGATTGGGTCAGGGTCAAGCTCAAGGAGAGCTCTTGAACACTTCAGGATGGGTATGGATGGGTATATATAACGTTCACCCAGTCCTTGAGGCCGGTCTTGTCACTCTTTTTCGATAAGTCCACATCCGAAAGGGATCACACCCAGTCACATCACATTTTTTACCATGCACGTTTGAGTTGCTTTCGCCACTGGGTCAAAAGCTACGTGCTCAAGTAGGATCGGCGAAGTGCTCAGTAGATGACAACGACATGACAACGACGGGCTGAACATGTCACTTCTTCGCCCTTCCCGGTGGGGCGATCGCACTGCCTCGTAACCGATGGGCGATCGCACTGCCTCGTGCAAAAAGAATCCGAGCTGCTGCGCCCATGGAGAACCAGGAGACGAGCCTCTTACAGAGCAAAATGAGAGAAGTGGAGAGAGATCTGGAGGCTGCAGCACAATCTGAGATGATGTTGCTAGAGTCGCTGCTGGGGAAGACTGTGGACGCATCAAGCTTCCGCGCACGAATCCAAGGTGCATGGAGTATGATGGGTATGGTATCAGCTCTTTTTCTGACCATGGACCAGTACAATAATGTAGTCATTTGCCCAGCCGATATGCAGGTCAAAGTACCCTTTTGCCAACAGGTGCACCCGTGCCTCTCTGGGATAGCTACAGCTTTTGCAGCCGCCTCGGTAGTGCTCTCAATGGTCTTGTACGTGCAGATGAGCTTTGTCCCTGATGAATTCCTCGGTGCATGGATGAGCAAGTTGTCCTTCGCAGTTGATTTTCCGTTGTTTTCTTTTATTGTGAGTATCCTGGGCTGGGGGTTGACAATGCTGTGGCGAGGAATTCTGAACTATGGGATACTCGGCTATGTTATCTCTGTCATGGTGGCGATCCTGGGCTCGGTGATTTTGTTCTTCTTCCTGAAGGTAAAAACCATGACGAACAAGTACTTGATTAGCGCAGCAGCGGCAGCCAAGGCCAGCTAAGCTGGTGGCCTCTTTGGTTTCACTCTCCAAAAGGGCCAAGAAGAGTGCCCTGATTATATACACAGAAAAGTCTTGACTCTTGACTTGACATGTCTTGACCTGTCTAGGCGCAACATTTTGTTTATGCTGCAGTGAAGTGCGGTGCAGCAGGTGTTTTTGGACATAACAGAGTAGAGTCCTCCTACTCTGTTGCATTTACATGCGACCGAAAGCAGGACCCCAGTGACATGAAGTTCACCAAATGGAGCAGCCTCCTCACCGATGGCGGAGAGGACGATGTCGGAGCACTCACGCCTCTGTTCGAGACGCCTCTGGTGCTGTCGGAGCGCACCGGTCTATGGTGGTCTATGGTTTTGGAGATGGTTTGGTTCCATGAAGCTGTGGCCAGTACCTACGAATGTTTGGATGTGATCTGAACCAGGTAAAGGTTAGAAGCACCCTTGGGCAGGATTCATGCATGAAATCCTACACCACGATTTCCGGATGGATCTTCTGGCAGCGCCAATCGCGGGGGGGAACTATCCAAGGACCGTTCGGGTTCTCCCCTTCGAAGGACCGTCCTCGGTGTTCCAAACGCGCCGATCGAAAGCAAGGAGCTGCGATGGAATAGCTTTCTGACCGACGATCCCTCTGCTCATGCTGCACGCGTGCGACCCTCAGCACGGAGGAGGGAAACTCGATATCGTGAAATCACTGATCGAAGAACAGACCATGAAAACATGCTAACCTGGAAACAACTGTAGGCGCTCAGACATAGCATGATATAGCATAAGTCATAGCACAAACAGCGTCATGTTGATGAAACACATATCCCTGCCGCTTCTTGAATCAACTCCATATCCCTGGCATTTGATTGTATATATAGGCTTTCGATGGTTTTCGGTTTTAGTCCATTTGTCATTCGAAAGTCTCAGATGGCTAAGTGCCTTGCTGTTGCCTGACTTCGGTCATCCCAAAAACCTGACACGTCGTCGCTGTGACGAAGTCACCCCGCTTCGTACCCGCGGCTTGTTTTCTGGGGCCGCAACGAACCTGAACACGGACCCTGCGAGTGAGTGTACTGAATGTAAGAAGAAGGAAGACACCGGGCCAAAACCTCAGGTCCAGAGTCTAGCCAGATTTCTGACTTCCTCAGAAGGTTCTTTCTTTGATCTTGGTTTCAAGTTTGTGATTTCTCAATAGGTTGACGTTTGACCAGATCTATAGTTCTGGGCCTTGGCCATTGCTGGCTCCTTCGTCGAAATCCATAGTTTGGGGTGGTTTGGTTGTGACCCAGACCAACATTCTTCCATCCCCAAGCTTTTCCAGGTTGAGCGGACAGATCCTTTCAAAGAGGGCCGAAGATGTAATATAAACCGAGAATTATTGACCTTCAAAATGTGTTCCTAAAAATTTTGAAAACATGGTTTCCACACTCATTCGGGATTGGGTCAAAACTAGAAGCACCCAAAAAGGAAAGCGGAGGCAGCATGGAGGTTGGAGCACAGTCAGATTTCCACATCAAGCTGGCAGTACAATATAATACAATATAATATCGTCATATTACAATACATAGCGCGTTGATTTGAAAGGGGACTCTGGTCGTAGGAGCGACCCTCCCTCCTTCGTCGAAACGAAGCGACTCACCACCCAAACCCGGTTTCTTTGGGACCGGCAAACCGTGAAAGACACCCCAAAACGAAAGCAGACTGGAGCGTTTCGTCAAGCTGTTGGTTGAGGGGATACCCATTTCAAGATACAACCTCCATAAACTGCTGGGTTCCCCAGGAGCGCAGGTGGGCCAAGGTGAACAGCTTGCGCGAGGGCCAGGCCGGCAGCTGCCTGAGAAGTGTGGGCGTTTTGGGGTGGGTGCCAGTGGGAAGCATGTGAATGTGTCCAAGGCCACTGCCAAGAAAAGTTCGACACCGCGAAGCAACCTAAATTCAACAATGGGTCCAAGTGAAGGGTGACTTCCGGAGATGATGTGGGCTTTATGGGGAAGACGAGTGCATCTTGTGGGTCTGTCACTAAGACAAATTCTTGGCGTGTCAGTTGAACCTGTACAGACACTGCCGTGCGTGGCCGTGCGTCGCCCTGTGGAGGACATGAATCACCTCCGTACGACCCAGCTGAACAGCCTTCGAAGCGGGCAAGATGATTCGGGCATCGAGGATGGGATTTGTTCAGACCAGAATGACAGACCCCGAAAAACCTCTGCAGAATGATTTGTTCACACTTCACACCATGTTAGTCTAATGACGGCGAATCTGACGGAATACAGCCAATCCATGCCAATCGTCTCCGACACATTTCAACATGTCCATCGTGCCAACATGGAACCTGGAGCGTGCCGCCGACCATCGAACAACAGGAGCCACTTTGGGGCAGAAACAGCAGCATGGTCACCGACTACGGAGATCAGGAGGCGCAGTCGGGAGGGATGCCCTTGGGTGCGGTTTCAGGGAGTGCGGCAAAACGTAATGACAAATTCGAACTTTTTGGTTTCCATTTCATCAAACGATAGGTTCCATGCAGTGCAACATGTGCAACGCAGGATTTCTGCCGCTGCTATTGGATTGATTGGATCCCCAAACGTCTCCGACAAAGGTCAGTGACAACCTTTAAAATCTCTAAAAGCAAGCACTAGTGATTTCAGGCTTACAAACCACAGAGGTGGATTGTTTTGTGGGATCTCCACCCACAAAAATGGCCAAAGATGAGATTCGACAAGTGCCCGTCATGGGCTGTTTCGACCACCCCCTCACGTCCGTGGGCAGTTTTGACCGGTGGCCCATGCCCACTCCGATTTTAGGGAGAAGCGTCCATGGGGCACATGCCGAGCCTGGTCTCCAAGACAGTGGCAGGGATTCCCAGGGAGCGCGCTGTCCGTCGATTTCGCTGTCGCACCCTTCGCGCCTGTCGAAGGATGAAAAGACCTTTAGATGAGTTTTGGTCTTAGTGAAGAAAAGATGAATGAAGCAACCCGGGGGGATTTGGATCATTATAGATTATTTTGTCAGTTTTCTCGATCACGTGGCTTCGATGTTGTTGGTTGAAACATATCATTTGCCACTGCCACAGCCATTTTCATATTCACAGCACTGAACCCATGTTCTTTTGCTGAAGAAACTGCGAAGAACATTACTTTCGGAAGACTAAACAAGAGCTTCCATACAACTACAACATGACATCCGTCTGGATCATAAAAGAGGATTCTTCATGCATACCCCAAAGCTACGAAAAGACTGGACAGGAACACCTCCCAGTCCCATCTCTCTTGGGTCTTGACCCCCGGGCAAAGCGCGAGCTGACCAAGCACTGCCTTCAGTGCTTGGTCAACATGTTCTTGGTTTTTATCCCACTTTCAGCTGTACCTCACTCATCCTAGTCCTAGTGTCCTCCCTATCACCCATGCTGTCAACATCTTGGGTAGACGGGGTGCGTCGGCCTGGACTTTGCTTTTGCCGCACTTGCTTCGACTCATTGAGGTTCTTTTGGGGTGGGAATTCGTTGGTTGGAATGAGATACCCAAAACGGCAGACAGATGCTTTTTGGTTTTAGCCCGGGGTGGGGGGGGTATATAGGCCGAGGTAGAAGAGGGAGGTACGAAGTAGCTAGGTAGGTAGCTAGTACAAGCAAACGGTAGCTAGTAGCTACTACTTAGGACGCAGGATAGCTCACGGCGGCCGGGGGGAGCTTCCTTCCTTGAAGAAGCTCTCGCACTAATGATTTGGTTCCTAGACTTTTGGGCAAAGATCATGAAGAGAGTCAGCGTAGAGCTGCCGTGCAGAGTTGTGAAGCGCAGACTGTAACTGTTCTGTTTAAGACATGAATGGGGGTACCCTTGGACGCCGTGCCGGGCCCAACATCACCTGAGGGAAATGCACCAGACACTTCAAACCCTTCAAACTGCAAGATGATTGCGAGGACATACATGCTGCGCATCCCACCAGACCAGACTAGACTGCACTTGTATCCCGGGAGAATACCAATGCCCTGTGTGACGGCGCAAAAGCACAAAGCCAATTTGTGACCGTGACCTGAAGTGGGGATCACCACACCCATTATATATCGGAGGGGTATTTTTTCTGGGATTTTTTTTCATTTTTTTTCGGGAATT